CGCCAACTGACCCAGCCGGGACTCGAACTAGCGACCTTCTTACTGTGAGGCGACAGCACTAGCTACTGCGCCACTGCTTCGCCCAGATTAGTCAATCAAAATACTGTACATCACATTTCTTCTCGATCTTCTTGCAGTAGCACAGCAGCCAAAGAGAAACTAATATGAGCACTCGAGAGTTCACCACAACGGTGACGATTGAGTAAATTCAATCAAAATAAAACAATGAAAAAAACAAACAATCGCTCTAATTACGTTTGTAGACGCCTGACAGTCATAAAGTCAAACAGGTGAGTAATAAGTGAAGCTTCTAGCTGAAATAAAACAAATAAGACTTTCTGCAGACGAACAAATATTATCAGACATACTGTGAAAAATTCTTTGCCCTGTTAAACATCATTTTGGAAATATTTAAAAAAGAATAAATAATTCAAAGCGGGGCGAATAACTCCGAGTTTAACTACAAATAAAGTCTATAAAGCTTTAAAAAACTATTATTATTATTATCTGGTGGAGCTCAGGTCTGTCTTAAAGGGACAGTCACCCAAAAATTTAAATTCTGTCATCGTTTAATCTCCCTTCACTTGTCTCACACATGTTTGACTTTCTTTCTTCTGTTAAACGCAAAGTTTGACTTCCATAGTGTTTGTATTGTGCGGATTCATTGCTTAGTTAGTAATCTGATTGCCTCCAGTGTTATTTTGAGGTGTTGGTTGACCATTGGGGATTTCGCAGTTTAGGGGATCTGTTCTCCAGTCGCCACGGCTCAGATCTGCTCATGTCAACCTTAGTCAGACCAAAACTGAGCTCTGGCTTAGAAAATTCCTTGGAAACACTCGGTTGATCTTAAAGAGGCAGCGGTGATGCTGTTCCTCCCGGTGTCAGCGGGACATCACATTATTAGATCATCGCAAAACCCCACACCAACACTCTGGAGGAAGCTATAACATCTAAATCTTTAACATCAACGACAGCTTGTACAGTCAATACAGTGAGGCTGTTCAGACGCTATACTGTATATGTTATAAAGAAGAGCTTTGCGCATGCCAATCTTCTACTGTCCAGTTTTGGTGAGTCTGTGTGAATTGTAGCCTCAGTTTCCTGTTCTTAGCTGACAGGAGCGGCACCCGGTGTGCTCTTCTGCTGCTGTAGCCCATCCGCCTCAAGGTTGGACGTGTTGTGTGTTCAGAGATGCTCTTCTGCAGAGCTCGGTTGTAACGAGTGCTTATTTGAGTTACTGTTGCCTTTCTATCAGCTGGAACCAGTCTGGCCATTCTCCTCTGGCCTCATCAACAAGGCATTTGCGCCTACAGAACTGCCGCTCACTGGATATTTCCTCTTTGTCTGACCATTATCTGTACACGCTAGAGATGGTTGTGCGTGAAAATCCCAGTAGATCAGCAGTTTCTGAAATACTCAGAGCAGCCCGTCTGGCACCAACAACCATGCCACATTCAAAGTCACTTAAATCCCCTTTCTTCCCCATTCTGATGCTCGCTCTGAACTGCAGCAGATTGTCTTGACCATGTCTACATGTCTAAATGCAGTGAGGTGCTGCCATGTGATTGGCTGATTAGAAATGTGCGTTAACGAGCAGTTGGACTGGTGTACCTAATAAAGTGGCCGGTGGGTGTACGCCAGCCAAAGTACCAAACAAAGTTTTGGTTATTTTCCAAACTTTTCTCAAAAGCAAAGGATCTTTCTATTTTCGCGTCACTTACTGTAAATTACTGCAGGTAAGACCACTTTTCGCTCTTCAAATAATGACACATGCATTTATTTTTTTGTGTCTGCATTACTGCAGTTCACTCTAAAACAGGGTCCATTAAACACCACATGGCCACAAGTGATGTTGTCATGATGTTATGCTAGTCTATAAGCCTGTCTTAAAGGGACAGTTCAACCAAAATTAAAAATTCTGCCATCATTTAATCTCCCTGGGGTGACACGGTGACACGTTTCTGCGTGGAGTTAGCATGTTCTCCCAGTGTTGGTGTGGGTTTCCTCCGGGTGCTCCGGTTTCCCCCACAGTCCAAACACATGCGCTATAGGGGAACTGATGAACTTAACTAGTTGTAGTGTATGAGTGTGTGTGAATGAGAGTGTATGGATGTTTCCCAGTACTGGGTTGCAGCTGGAAGAGCATCCGCTGTGTAATATGTATGCTGGAATAGTTAGCAGTTCATTCCGCTGTGGTGACCCCTGATGAATAAAGGGACTAAGCCAGGAGTCGGAACCTTTATTCAGCATGATGTTTTTAGCACATGCATTTTTAAGAGTCATTTGGATGTCTATATCTCAAGATGCCTCTTTAAAAATGCATTTGCTTCTGTTTTACTATAAATTACTAAACACTACTAATACTGTATTATTATTTATATCACTGTAAATAATACAGGTTTTAACAAAACCTTAATTTATGTCCATGCACAACTCAAAAATAAACTAATATGAAGCATCACATGGGCGACGCAGTGGCGCAGTTGGTAGTGCTGTCGCCTCACAGCAAGAAGGTAGCTGGGTCGCTGGTTTAATCCTTGGCTCAGTTGGAATTTCTGTGTGGAGTTTGCATGTTCTCCCTGCGTTCGCGTGGGTTTCCTCCGGGTGCTCTGGTTTCCCCCACAATCCAAACACATGTGGTACAGGTGAATTGGGTAGGCTAAATTGTACATAGTGTATGAGTGTGTGTGTGGGTGTTTCCCAGAGATGAGTTGCGGCTGGAAGGGCATCTGCTGCCTAAAAGCGTGCTGGATAAGTTGGCGGTTCATTCCGCTGTGGTGACCCCGGATTAATAAAGGGACTAAGCCGACAAGAAAACGAATGAATGAAGCATCACATGTTGAGCAAGTCCCTGAATGAAGAAAGAACAATTTAGACTACTTTTATTTTCACCACTCATGAATGTTGCTTGAATTTAGGTTGCCATAAACAAATGTAAGATTTACATTGGTCGAAACGTCCTTTTATTATTAACTGGGTTCTTGTTAGTTTTGCTATTTAAAAAAAATTGCAATAAAAGGCGATTGTAATTGTATTTTTGATAGGACACTGAATTTTAGTGATGGTTATTAACGATAAAATAATATTGAAGGAAAAAATCCTCTGAATTTTGTGATATCTGGGAGGCGTTTTTAAACTTTGTAAATAGCTGAGATATTGAAGAAGCTCTGGAAGTCTGAAGTTGTGGAATGTTAATTGGTGCTTGATTAGAATTATTTTTAATTTTTTTTATTTATTTATTTATCATAATTTTATATATATATATATATATATATATAATATATATATAATAATTTTTTATTATTATTAATTAATTAATTTAATATAATATTATTTTTATTTTAAATGATTTTTTAATAAGGATTATTATTTTATTTTGTTTTTTTTCCTAAGCCTGTCTAGTGTAAGTTGTGAGTATTGGGGTTTGAATTATTGTAAAATCTTGAAAAAACTCAATAAAGACTTGTTATAAAAATAATAATAATAATAAAGGAAGACAGCTGGAGAGCCACGTATTTTTGGCCAGAGAGCCACATGTGGCTCGAGATCCATAGGTTCCCTACCACTGGACTAAGCTAGGAAAATGAATTTAATCTCCCTTCACTCGTCACATTGACTTTCTGATTTCTGTTGAACACAAAATAAAACATTTGTAAGAATGATGGACACCACTGACTTCCATAGCATGTGTTTCTCCTACTGTGGAAGTCAGTATGTATGCATGTTTTCAGCTTTCTTCAAGATTTCTTCTGTGTTCAGTGGAAGAAACTAACTCATCTCAGCACTTGAGGGTGAGTAAACAGTGAGTAAATCTTCATTTTTGGTGAGCTGCAGTATCGCCTTAAATGGGGAAATACATTTTACTGCAAAAAAAGGCCACTTCAGTGAGTGAACAAATAGGAAAGTAAAACTCTCAGACGGGTGATTTACCAAGTGTGATCCTGGTATTTGTAATGTAAAAAACCTGCTTTAGTTTCTGTGGAGGGATTGTGCAGCTCATACTGATTTGATTCATGATCTCTGATGTCCAGCGTGGGAGAGTCCACTCTGTTTTTGTATGTTTATTATAATAACGCAATAATTAGTATTATTTACAGGGAAACTTCAGTTCTGGGTTACTGGAATTCTCTGGATTACTCGAGCGTGATTGGTCAGTGATGTCATCAGCTGAACTACAGAGGCTGATTAAGTCATTATGTGCTGTTTTGCTGACCAACTTCCTGTTATTGAGTCGTCTTCAACCACAGTATTGAACATCAGCGCAGTGGAATAACTCTGACATGAGCAACATTGCCATGTTATATAAATATCTCAGTCACCTAAATGTCTAATAAATAAGGCAGCATGGTGGCTCAGTGATTACCACTGTGGCCTCACAGCAAGAAGGTCACTGAGTCATGATCAAGTGTTTCTGTGTGGAGTTTGCATGTTCTCCCTGTGTTGGCATGGGTTTCCTTCAAACACATGTGTCATAGGGGAATTGAATAAACTAAATTGGCTGTAGTGTGTGAGTGTGTATGTGAGTGAGAGTGTATGGATGTTTCCCAGTACTGGGTTGAAGCTGAAAAGGCATAATCCATTATTCATTCATGTTGGCTTAGTCCCTTTATTAAACCGGGGTCGCCACAGCGGAATGAACCGCCAACTTATTCAGCAAGTTTTTATGCAGCGGATGCCCGATCAGCTGCAACCCATCTCTGGGAACTGGAAAGGCATCCACCTGTGTAAAACATATGCTGGATTTGTTGGCGGTTCATTCCGCTGTGGTGACCGATAATGAATAAAGAGACTAAGCCGATGGAAAATGAATGAATGAATAAAAAGTTAAGCATCATGACATCTCGCCAGTTTTCACACAAGACAGCGAACTGTATCGCGTCTTTGCAAAGTAGAGGTCTGCATTCCAGCAGCTGTACCGCGGCAGCCGCGCACACTGAAGCAATGTGTTCTGTGTAGAGCTTGTCTGATGTGCTTGTGTGTGTGTTTGTGTGTGTCTCCAG